AGGGCCTTCCTCTGCCTGTCCGCCCCTCCTCCAGAACATCTGTGCATCACTACGCCCTCCCCATCGGGCACTGCCCGGCCCCGGGGGCCAGCTGGTGAGAACACCAGAGCCTAGAGCGGGGCCCAGACTCGCAGAACCTGCCCTCCTGCGCGGCCTGGCCTGACCGCCACGCGCCCCCCGCCCCCACCCAGGCATTTACAGGCCTGTCCCAGGGTCCTGCTGGGATGCCGTGGAGGGGAACTCCCTCACGTTCAGAGGGGGAAACGGAGGCCCAGGTTGTGTGTCTGAGGGGGCCCAGCCAGCCAGAGCCACGCTGGCTCTGTATCTTCTAGACCATGCACGGCAGGGCATGGGGGGGGGCCACACAGCCCCCCAGAGCCGGTCAAGCCCCGCCATCCCGGGGAACTTCAGGGCCATCAGCCACATCGGCCCCACAGTCACAAGGCCCCGAAGCCAGCTGCCTGTCAACGCCTCTGGGAAGCTGTGGATACGCCTGCACGCGAAGTGGGGGCCTGACAGAAGCTGGCTTCAGACGCCCACCCCCCGCCCGGCCTCAGTTTTTCCCACCTGTAAACTGGCTTTGAAAAAAAAAAAGACAAGCAGAGCTGGCCGCCACCTGAAGGGGGTGTAAGCCTGCCGAGAAACGCGTCTGCCAGGGTTTTATGGGGCTGTCTGCGCGTGGAGTTATTACTGGTACGTTGTTGAGGAAAGCAATCTAGGTGCTCAATCAGCTCTGCGAAGCCACATCCTTGCACTATTTATAGACAAGACATGAAACAGGAAAGGTGCCCTCCCCACTCCGGGAGGGTGCAACCCCTCAGCCCGGCAGGCCCCGGGGGTCCCCACCTGCCAGCACAGCCCCGGCCACCCATCGAAGGCACGGCGAGCACGGAGGGGGCTGGCGCTGGCTCCCGTGGGGTCCCGCGGGCCCCTCCCCGGCCACCAGCTACAGGGGGTCCCAACACCCACACCGCACCCCCCGCCATCCTGTTGAAGAGCTTCTCCTCCGTCAACTGTTGGCCCTGACCCACCCTCTTCCTGCCTAGGGCACAGTTTCCTTTCTCTTTTAAAAAAAAGTATGTATTTCTTTGCAACGGGAAAAATGTTAGCTTCTGTGCAGAGGCAGGGCCTGGCCCCAGGAGGCGCCTTCCTTCAAAGAAGGCGTGTGCCTTGACATCTCCGCACAGAGCAGGTGAGCCCGGGAGACAGTCTGGCTCACGCTGGGTGTCTAACACGTGTGTTTCCAACCTGGTCCCGGGGCCCAGGCGCCACATAAACAGAGGAAGCCCCACAGCAGCCTGGAGAGTTAGGCTGGCCCTCCCCCAGCCTTGCCCAAGACTCCCAGGTGACTCAGTGGAAACAGCCAAACAGGTGACAGGAGCCGAAGGAGCGGTCCCTCTGAAGCCCAGGGCCGAGTCACTTCTCCCGCCCGAGCCTCCCGACCTCCCCTCGTAAAGGGAAGTTGTCCTTCGGGCCCTGCTTCCTCGGAGAGTGGCCAGGGAGGGCTTGGGGTGGCGCGGGCAAGACCGGACAGCGGGCAGGAACACAGGCTTTGGAGAGAGAGAGGCAGGGCCAGGTGCCACTCTGCACTCCGCCATCCTGGCAGATCACACCCCCATGCCCGGCCCACACAGTGTCACAGGCTTGCGAGGAGCCATGTCAGCCCCGGGTCAGGCTGCCCCGCCCACCGAGCTCACCTCCACCTGACACGTCACACCCACCCACGTGTTCTTGCCAAGAACGTCACCTCGTCACCCCCACCAGGGCCAGGGCGCCCTGAGCCCGTAGCCAGTGCCTCAGGCAGAACCCAGCACACAGCAGGTGCTCAAAAGCATCTTTGGGAAAAAGCAAAGAGGACTGGGGATCAGAGCCACGGGTGGTGATAGAACCCTCAGAGTTGGTGAGCCCCTCCCCAGGCAGCACCTTCTGAGTTCTCCGAATTAACTCATCAGCCAACTAAACATCCGAGAATGAGGATCCTGAAACCAGCCCTGTCAGCTCAAAAGGAGAAGGCAGGCAGGGAACCGGACACTCGGCCGGTGCCTAAAGCATGAGGCTCTTATGCAATCCTCGCACCACGAAGAGATCAATCGTGGGTCAGCTGCGCGTTACAGACGGGGAGTCGGAGCTCAGGTGACCCAGCGACCCGGGGTCACAGAGCTAGGGGGTGGCGGAGCCAGGCCTCAAACACCGGATGGTCCCAGGCTAAAGCCCACCACCTGCCAGCCAGCTGGACTTCCCTCCCAGGTGCCCTGAGCACGATGGCTCACCCCGCTTCTGGGATGACCTGGGAGAGGCCCTGGGCGGGGGGCAGGGGGGGACGGACTTTCTCGTAGGCAGGGGGCATACCTTAGCAATCCTGGGGCCTCAGCTCCCCGCCCAGGCCGGGGCAGCCCCCATAAGCCTTTCAGACTGAGAATGCACGCCCACCCAAACGGACAACAGTCCCCTCAGGCCTTCTCCCTCCCCCAAACAGAAGAGGGGGAGCCCATGTGAGTATCCCCCCTCTGCACTGACCGCCCTGAGCCTGCCTGCAGGGCACCGCACAGAGCAGCCGTCCAGAAACGGCACTCTGCCCACAGGGACAGGCCGTGGGGCCCGTCCCCTGCAGCCACTGGCCCACCACGCCTCAGCTACTCGGTGATATCCTGGGAAGGCTTTCACACCAACAGAAACCTCTTTTTCCAACCCTGAGCCCTGCAGCCACCTGACTCGCGGCCTCTGGGGAAGGTTCCTTCTCTTTGGGGTGGAAACATATGATTCACCAGGTACTAATGTGCCTGGAACCGGAACACCACCGTTTCCCACGCCCTATCCATCGGAGAGCCAGCAAACCGATCCAGAAAGTCAAAGAACTTTCCGAGAGAGTCCAGGATGGATGCTACAGAGTTGGAATTCATACCGAGGTTGGCACCAGAGGCCTCCACCCTCACACCTTTGAGGAAAGAAGGTGCCTTCCCCACTCGGCCTCCCATACTAGCAGACTTTCTGGGGCCTGAAGGGAACAGAAGGTCCCCACAGAAGGCACAGGGCCCAGGATCAGAGGGAGCCAGGGCCCCTCACAGGAGTGGCCACGACGTCCCCAAGCTGCACCCCGAGTCCAGACCCATCCTTTTCCACAGCTGGGCCTGGCTGGCACCCCATCCCTGCTCCCCAGTCTCCAACACGGTGTGACCCAGAGGTAGGGCCTCTGAGGACGGTGCTTCCGTTCCGTCTTCCAAGTGGATCTGCGGGGTGTGCACAATGGGGTCTCTGTGGGCCGAGCTCGGCTGAGTGCCAGGCCAGACTAAGGCAGGCTTCCCGCCAAGGAGGAGGGGGGCCCCAGGCCCCAGGGAGAAGACAAGGTCGGCGCCCGGCCCTGAGCAGTGGCCGGACTTGGGCTGGCAGGGCTCTAGGATTGAGGGGTGGAAGAGTATGCTGCACTATCACTCTGTCCCCTTGAAGTGTCTCACCCCAATGCCAAGGAGGGGGATGCAGTAGCCTGCACCCCAAGGCATCCCCCTCGTGGCCCAGGCTCCAGCCCAGGGAGACCCCAGTGGCCCCTGGGCTGGGCTGTCCCTGCTCCTTGGTGGCACTGATAAAAGACTGCTCCCACCTTCCCCAGCACCGCGCCCCTCCTGCCTTCCCAAAGCCCTCTGCAGAAGTGCAGAGACCCCCCCCACACACACCCCATGGGTGAGCGCGCAGCCAGAGCAGGCCCAGGGCTGGCGGGAAGGGAGTCGTGCATTCTGGGAAGCCACGCATAATTAATCACACGGCATTAATCCGCCTCTCGACAATAGCCGCTGCGCTTCCCCTGAATCCCAGCTGTCGGTCTCTGAATGAAAGGAAACAAGATTTAGGGCATCAAGCGTCGGTGCGGCTTCTGCAGGAAAAGAAAAAGGCCCCAAAAAAGCAAAAAAAAAAAAAAAAAAAAAGTAGTGTGCATTCATTAGCATCTGACAAAGACACAATCCTCTTTGTCTATTAAACTGCTCACAGACCTGCTTAATTGGCTTCAGTTTGGGGGGGGATGGGGGCAGTGGAAGGGGGGACTGCTTGCCCACGGGCCAAGGGTTGTCAAGGGAAGGGGCCCTCGGCAGTGGGAATGCAGCACGCCGAGGAGGACGGAGGACCCAGGACGGGCCGGGGAGCTTCCCCCCGGGGGAGGAGGGGCGCTTCCTCCAGCCACCAAGCACCTCCTTGTATTCCCATCGGACGAAGTCGAGCTGAAGGGCACCAGTGCAACAGAAAACTTCTCTGAGGCTGGTGTGCATGGGCAGGCAGGGCGCGCGCTGTACCAGGACTCCCTGCTGGAGTCCGGCAGGCTGCAGTGCGCACCCCCACAACACACACACTCCTGCCCCAGCTGCGGGGCCGAGGCCCAGCCGGTGATGGGCTGGTTGGTGGGCCAGACGGTGGGGGGTTGGAGCTACAGATGGCAAGACGGAAACCCAGCTCCAGGAGGTACCACCCACCCTCAACCTGGGAGATGGGCTGCCGATGATGACGATGAGTTCCCCAACCTCACCTGAGGTCAGAGGGGGTTTGCTGGGGAAGGCCGAGGGCCTGGAGGGGCGGGTCGGACTTTGAAAGAGCCCATTTCTGGCTGAGAGGCCCTTCCTGGAGGAGGCACTCCCGTAGGCAGGGTGGTGGGGGCCGGGCCTCTCTAAAGGTCCACAGCCTCCCCTGGTGGGCAACTTGTTTCTCAGGGACTTTAGGAAGAAATGGGGTACCAGGAATTCCCACGTAGTACCCCAGGAGTCCAAGGTGGCCCACAAAGGTGTGCTCGAACCTCCAGTGGCCAGACCAGCTCCACACGCAACATAATTGCTGGTGATTAAGTAATTGCCAGACTTTGTCCAATAAAAGTAGCACGTGACCGCGCCCAGCCTTCTGGGCCATCTCCAGAAGACAATGGCCTAGTGTTCTGTCCCTGCTGGCCCCTGATGCAGAAGGCAGGGGCTCTGCTCCTGACAAAAGCAACAGGTCCCCACAGGGGCGCAGGGGTGCGTACTCACACACAGGCTTCAGTGCCGTTGGGGAACACTTCACACTTCCCGCCATTCAAGCAGCTCTCACTGGGCTGGGAACATCGCAGGCCTGGGGAGGGGCAAGACGAGAGGTCAGCCTGGGTGGCAGGAGGGCCCTCAGGACAGGGAAGGGCCCACTCCAAGGGGTACAGCTACCCCTCTACCTAAGAAGGCTCTGCCTCATCATGGGTTTGCTGGGGGCAGGGGACCTCAGGAACCCTCCCAAATGTGAACCCCAAGGGGCTTCAACACTCTGCCCAGAGTTCTGTAGTCAGAAATGGGGGGAAGGGCAACAGGTTGGCTGGGTGGCAGGTGGGCAGGTCACGCTCAAAGTGGATAGGGTGTCCTAAAATGCCATCTGGACAACAATGAAGAAGATCTGACATGACCCTGGGCCACTCTCCCAAATTCTGCACCCCCGACCCATCTTCAACGGGTCTTCAACGGGGAGCCCATCGGGGCTGGGGCCCCTATCCAGCCACCAACATTGTCTTGCTGTTCAAACGTGTTCTGTGAGGGGGCGGTGCTGAGGGGTGGGGTGGCCACACTGGCCCACCCCCCCCAGCTCGTGGGAAAAGGCGACAGCTGCAAGGCTCAAGGCCCCGCCCGCCAACAAAGCGCCAGCCCCGGAATCAGAGCAGCCCATTGTCACCAGGGCCGCCTCCTGGGGCACAGGGGCTGCACCTCGGGGACCTGGCCCAGCCTCCAGGACACCCAATACCTGCTCCTGCAGGCGGGCATCTTCAGCTACACCCAGGGAAGGGGGAGGAAGATACCTGGTTGGAAGGAATTAGGCCCCATTCCCAAGAAGGGATTGATCCAGTCGCTCCCTCCCCATTTTACCAGCGCTGTGTAAATTAAGCCCCTCATGGGGGCGGGGACGGGGTGTGACTTGGAACCCCACCTTCTGGAAGTGGGGAGCTAATTCTCCCCTCCAACTTTTAGGGGAAGAGAGGAATTAATCACCACTGGATTCCTCGATGTGAAATGGAGAGAGACAGCGTTCCTTCTCCCTGTCCCTCTTCACCCTTGCAAGATTCCAAACTTGAACTCGGCAAAGTGAAAGTCCCGCTAGTCACGGCTGTGTGTCCCGCACACCCGCACCACCCCCGCCCCCCCCAAGCCAAACTGTCTGTGAGCCGGGACGGGGGCGGCGATCAGGCGTGGGAAGGAGACCCCTCCGTCGGCGCCCCTCGCCCGGCCCTTCGCCAACTCTCCTGAATGGGGAGAAGGCCGGTCCGCCTGGTGCCCCACTGCCCACCACGCCCGGCAGCCTGGCCGCGCCGCACAGCTCAGTAAAGGCAACACGACGCCCCGGACCCCACACTCCGCGCCCCAACATCCGCCCCCGGCGCGGGCCAGAGGCGAGGAAAAAGATAAATGGCCCCCAAAGCAACAGGAAACCAAAACCGACTCGATTCAAATCGAAAAGTAGTAGGCAGCTCGCCCGCCTGCCCCGGCGGCAAGCCCCACGCGTGGCTGACGATGGCGAGCCCAGGGCTGGGCCTCCGGGGGCCCCGGGGGGGCGCCTAGCGCCCCACGCCCGGCTTCAAACCCGGCCCCGGGCGCGGGCGGCGCGAG